ATAAGGTACGAGAATAAAATGATTGCACAGAAATGCTCATTATTTAAGGGATGAATTGGCAGAAGACACATCCTGCAACTATGCAGATTGCAGACAGATGTCTACCTGTGTTTTGCTTGGCTGTGATTCGGAAATGTACAGAATTCTTCGAGAGCAAATGCTCACGCGCTCTTGCCAATTTTTATTTCATTGTGGATTGCTCTGTGCTTTTGCTTTTAGGGATGATGGCTTACCATTGCCGTATAACAGTTTGCCTGGTGATATTTGTGGGTAATTTTACTTGTGTTCTTAAATATTATACATGACAGTAGAACTGCACACTCACTGTGCAGATAGAGCTTTAAAAGAAGCTGTTTATTGATGTCACACTCCATTATATGTTTTGAAATTTGGAGTTTAAGGACAGTATCCTAAAAGTAGTAACTCACACTATTTCACATGTGGTTTGTTCAGGTACTCACACGCTCTGTGTGTGCATTTGAAAATTACTTTATCCTCTGTATGACTGAACATGCTTATGCTACCCAGTAATGCTACTTTCACTGCAAAAAGAACCTGTAGGAAAGCTTTTCATTCCTCTCATTGAATGGAAAGTTACTTACGGTATGGTACTAGGAGTTCAATGAGAGGTATATATGCCTATCTGCTGGATTTGCACGTTTGTTTATGGGACTGCAAGGCCTGATATAGCTATATGGCACATGTAAGCCTTGAGGCACCTTTAGGAGATTTTAATTTGGGCAATAGCACACTCAGTGCACCTCATGTGTATGAGAATCCCAAGGGCACAGGAGTGCAACGAAAACAGAATGGGGGCTGTGTGCGATATGTGCACATCTAGCGCTGATTGCTACTTATGGGTAAGTCATTTTTTGTTTTCCTCCCAGCACATGCAGTATATATCTGTATTTCCACTGCAGTATATGCAATAACAATCATTAGTTTCTTCCATGGCAGACTGAGATATTTGAGAGGTTGCAGTTGGAACAACACTTTACGTTGTAACCCATCAAGAGTTATTAATATATGTAACATCTGTTGAATTGGGAAGACAGAGCTTCAGGATGATGCTCTGTAGATGCCTAAGATAAATAATTTTCTTGCTGAAATTGTCAGCACAGATGCTGCTCTGACAGGGTATGATCTAACGGTTTACCTGGAATTGCCATAACAATCTTAAAACAGACTTGCAGTCTGCAATATAATTAGGTTGGAAAAGTCGAGTGAATATCTTAAAATACTTCACTTTTTGTAGTTAAGAGGGCACCTGTTACATCCCAAGTGTGGAGAAATGACTGTCTCCAATAGCAAAATACAGAAAGACGAATTTTCTAGTTCAGATGGAGCTCCATAACCACCATCAGCAGAAACTGAAGGATTCCATTAAGTGCTCTGTATCCGTTCAGAAGGGAGGGATCAGCTGTACTTTTCCATCTCTCTTGTCACTGGAGCAATGGCCTTCAGAAGGTTATCCTATCTGACAAAAGTCATCAGGGGCATAAATTTTTTTTCAAGGATAGGGGCTTCTGGGAGCTGATGGGTCCAGACACAGGTTTCAATCTGAGGTGGGAGAACTAGCATATTTACCTTGGCTGGACACTTCAAGAACCCTGAACAATCTAGTGAGGTGGGTGAAGCCACTGGATATACGTTGCTGCAGTTTCTTTCAGCCTTTCAGGACTGACCACTGCTCCAAAGCCAGAAGATGGTTTAAAGTGTCACATAGCAATTCATTAAATGTACTCAAGATACTTCATGGGTCTAGGAGGAAAATCTCATTTTCTTTGACAATTATATTTACCTCAATGAGGTCTTCTTACCATTCTGCAAGACTGAATGAAAAGTAGCACTTCCTATTCTTAACAGCCACCCAGAATGCTGGCTGAGAGAGAACCACTTTAAGTTCAGATAGCAAACCATTCCTTTGTTTGGTGGTTCCAAATGCTGGAAGTCCATTAGTTCTGCAGTCAATCTACTCAGGATATCTGGAAACCAGGACTCTTTCGGCAAGTAATGACAAAAAAGGTTACTTTTGCTGAGTCTTACTTGATTTTGCCAAGTAATCTGGGAATTAGAAGGACTGACAGGAAAGAATAAAAGGAAACAGCTGTCCCTGGAACAAGGAAATAATTGTCTTGTTGACTTGTGCTGTGAAGATGTCCATTCAGGACAACTCTATTTTGAGAAGATGCCTTCAACAGTTTTTGATTTCCTGCCTGTGTTTTGAAGAGGAATATCTGCTGAAATCTTTTAACCAGATATTCTGCAGACTAAGCACAATACAAAAAATGAAAATTTTATGCAAGTGCCATAATTTAATTTCTTCCTGGCACAGAGAGTAATGCCACATTCTCACACTATTGACATGAAGCCATATAAGAAGATTGCTATCATGATGACTTTTCTGCTTTGGTATTTATCCACTGGAAACTGGTTTAAGGGTCTGACTTAACTGTAAAGAGGTCATCCAAAAACTATCAGATGACAACTTTCTGTCATGACTTGTGAGATGTCAAGAACTAGCCTATATCCCCTGGTGGTCTAGTGGTTAAGGGCGCGGCGCTGTCACCGCCGAGGCCCGGGTTCGATTCCCGGTCAGGGACACTCCCCGGGCAGATGGAGCTCATTAGCCCTTAAAAGGCAACCCATCTACGTCCTGAGGACCTCGCTGCCACTGTCCAAGCTCGCTTGGCCCCGGCAGATGAACCTTAGGATTAAAGGGTGGGCTCAGTTCTGTGCACACTGTGTCTCACCTAAAAAATTCAATGCGCAGGCTGGAAGGTGTAAAGACCTTCCCCGGATCTTCGCTCGCGAAGACTGGCCATTAAATTAAAACTTAAACCCATTTCCCACAGGAAATTCATTTATCCTATCATATAACAGAATAGCAACCACCTATTCTGCACTGAAATACTTGCCTGCTTTCTAATGTTTTGGTCTAGCAAGCGCAATTCCCCTGAATTGACAGAACTTTTAGAGTAAAATGAGAGGAAAGGTTCTGTGGTTTGGGGAAGTCAAAGGGAAATTCACTGCCTGATTCAAAAGCAAATTTCCTTGTGACCATGTGCAAATTGATGGGTTTCTGTAGCTCACTGTCTCCGACAGGAAAAATTAAAAAAAGCAGAGGAACAAGTTGATTTGTATTTGTGGAATATTCAGCTATTCTTTCCACTTGACTTGTAAGAAACTGAGTGATGCACTTGGGGTTTGTTATTTTATCCTCACTATTTGAAAGCTCCATCTCTGGGGGTAAATGAGACCACCACAGTTGTGTCTACACTGTAAGGGAATCAAAAGTCCTTTGGACCAGAAGTAAGCATGGTATAATCCTCCTCTCCAAGCCTTATCCATTCCAGATACATTATGGCAGCAAGGACCATCCTCAGACTGCTTGTGACCATTAGGATGCTACTGTATTAACCCACCAAACTCACTCAGGTACCCAACATGCTCTAAGGGAATGGAAATATGCCCATATCTGAGGTCAGTCCTGTTACCCTCGCAGTACAAAATGTGGTTAAGTATGATTTTCAAAAAGGTTTCAGGTCTGTTTTCATTGGAGCACAGATCAAGGTCTTAAGTGATTATGCAAATGCAGTAATTATGTAAATCTATAAGACTTATGACAATTGGAATTAAGGCTGAGAATGTAAATGTGTACCTTGCTATCTTGCATTTTGTGAGAGAATTTCTATTTTTCTGAACAATGCAACATATGAAAACCTCAATTCCAACACAAATCTGTACTAACAAATCAGGTTGATGGGAGGTAGGATAAAGGTTAAGCATAATTTGTTATTTACAGTTTTCAAAATCATATACAAATCCCTATGTTCTGAGTGCTAAACTCTTGTGCCCCATACATATGTTGTTTGTTTTACTAGACTACATGTGAATGAAAAGAACAGCTGTGACCTCCCCTTGTACTTCGAAAAGGGCTCCAACAAAAAACAAACACCCTCTTTAAGAAAAAATTCTTAATTGAATTCATTCATTCTGCATGTGTAAGGACCCACAAAAGTATTCCATGGTTTTATTATATTCAGAATTAATAGTGAAGAGGCAGCTAAGATAGAATTTCACACCTGTTCATATTTAGTTTTGGAGTTATCTCTTAACATTTCAGTTATACTGCATAGTTCTTTACCACTGTTTTCTAATCTAGAACTAGACTCACTGTAAACTGATATGGTGTTCGTGTAAGACTCTAGCTGGGCTGAACCTGTGAGCTCAAGTAATGCCACCTTCTCTTTGTGCAACCTTCAGTTGTCTAAAATATGCTATTAAAAGGATTTTTGTCTCTCCATATATAATTTTAGCAACTCTTTGTTGGATTGGGTGTCATTTTTTAAGTGTAATCACTAAGCTGATAGAAGTATTTAATAAATTCATTTTTAATACATTCAGTAAAATTACTGTATCTGCACTTCAGGCTTATATTGCTTTTATTACACCAAATTATTTCTTTCAAATAGCTAATGCTACATGAAAACTAGTGTGTTAAAGTAACGCAAAACCCTACACAGTGTTATAGAGACTTAGCTTACGTCGAAAAATTAGACAATTAATCAGTGTAAGTTTTGAATGTGACCAAAACAAAATGATACACATATTTCACTGTAAAGCACTCACAGCAATTATCAACCAACTTCCCTTCTCTATGCCTCTTGGACTGCACTCACTCCATTTTTTTTCCACCAGAAAATATACATCTTCAAATACAAGCATAAATAATGAGAATACAACAACAAAACAAGAAAAAGGCCTCTGAACTCAGCTGGAGAATGAGGCTGTTGCCTCCCCAGCAACAAGATGGTAATGATCAGCTTGCCTTTCTGTGAGGCAGCTGCTCACAGCTTCTGCTAAGCTTTGCACTCAGTATGGGACATGGAAGAGAGGAGATAGCGGTGCTGGGATAGGAGTCTGGAAACAGGGAATATTGTAGTTCATATTATGGTGGGGAGGGAGCTGAGGAAAGAAAATGCAATCAAGCCAATTGATTTGTGACTCACTGACACTGTGTGCTTTATTTGCCTTGTTATTTGCCTGTGCACATTTGATGATCTCTGTCTTTTGGTCTTCTTCCACTTACTCCCACTGCTATGTAAGCTTTCCCATGCATTCAACGAACCAGATGTTTCTCCTCCACCGTCTTCCAATTGGACTGAGCAGCTCCTGTGATTAACAGGCAAGAGATACATGAACAGTGTACGTTTTCAGTAACAAATTCTGCAGCTCACTGAAAACTAAAATTTCATTAAAATATTTTTAAACATTTAGTCAGTAGTTGAGTGATTTGGCATCTACTATTTTTTAAAATTTTCGTATGTAATCATATTTAGAGAAATTGAATTTCTATGATGAATTATCGAGGTCCATTACAGAATCTCTGCCTTTTAATACTAAGTAAGATTGCTCATGTTTGCTGTATCACTGCCTAGAGAGATACAAGAACAGGCAAAGAAAGCAAGTAGAACATAGCTGTAGCTGGCTGTGCTCATGTAATCCAAATATTTAATATCCAAATGTTCCTAACAATAAATAAGCAATAGCAATCTACACTGTATCAAAGGGTATATTTGAAGTCCCTGGGCAAGTTTTGGCTTAAGTTTATGAAGTATATGTTAGTTGAAAGGAAATACACAAAAAAAAGGTAAATATGTTCTGACCTATTTTACCACCAAAGAGGAGGGGAGAGTGCAGGAATGACCTACACAGTTCCGTACTTTGTTCTTGAAAGAAGCTGAGTAACTTCCCTCAAAGCACGTGCTGTGAACTGCACAGTCTGTGAGAAGAGCCCAGGCCTGCCCAGATACTCAGATCAGCTCATCCTGCCCAACTGGAGTCACATCATGTCAGTGGACACATCATCTTGACGCACAAAGCAGTGATAAGAATGTATTTATCCAACTGAGAGAAAAGTGCAGTAAATCTCTCTCTGTCATTTTCTTCCACGTTCTTCAAACAGTTACATAAACCCAAGCCATATTTCCCTCTCACTATGTGGCAAATATAATCCTCTCTCTAACAAAATAATAATAAAAAAAATCTACATCTGAAAAAACATGTTAAATAATTTGCAGGCATGATTAATAGTTCTGCTGACTAGTAAAAATCTGGTTAGAGTACAATGGATTTTTAGGAGTAGGGTGAAGTTTGTTTGATTCTCTGTAACTGAGTGTCCTCAGCTGAACCTACCAGCCCTTTGCTGTGTGAGGATTATAACTCACGCTGCAGTTGGATCAGCCTCCGTTTCTATTTTTAGTGCAGATCTTGCTCCTTATTTAGTCCTGATTGCATAGCCAGAACTGCATTCTCAGCAGCTCAGTGAAAAGACTGCCTGTTCCATTTTATAACTTTTCCAGACAAAAAGATGGGATGCCGGTAGCTTTCCAAATAGTCTTATTTTAGGAGCTTGCAACAGGATACAGTCCAAAAACCCAAGGGCCACATGAATCCCTGCTGAAACACTATAGACTTTTCTGTAGTTTTACACAGCAAGAATTTGGCTGCTTCTAAGTTAACTGAGATATTAAAAACAAAACAAAACAAATCCAAAAAAAAAAGGAAAGGAAACCCACCAAACAAGCCCCCAAATCCCCAAAAAACCTTCTTCACCCTAAATACTAAAATAATTTTTATTGAAACAGTAATATACATCTGGATCAAATTCTCCAGAAAAGATTTTATCCTCCTCAGATTCATAATTTATAAATCCAATTCATGGAGGCAACTACTAGCCAAAAAAGAAATAAACAAGGAAAAATGGAAAATGTTGGTTTAAAAGAATCTCTTAGCAGGGATGACCACACAGAAGTAATTTTCTGCCACTCAATTAAAACCATAAGAACATTCTTGGTTTTGAACAAATTTTTCCCAGTACAGCAAGGAGTTTCTGCAATTCTGTCACAATCAGCTACAATGCTTCACCTTCACTTCTAGGATTTGTTTCTGGAATATCTCCTCAATCATAGATACTTAGTAAGTTGTATTTCCATGTGTTGCAAGTAAGTGCATGACTAAAAACCAAGATTAAGATGATCGAGGCCACTGTGAGGCTGTAACCACACAAAATACAAAAAAATCTACACTGATAATACATGTAAAATACATTTTTATCTACATGTACTGAGATACAATGTCAGTAATGGATCTTCTTTCCATGTGTGAGGATACTTTGCATCTTATCATACACTGAAATTACACATACCTACAAACAGGTCTTTTATTCCAAACTTAAGATAGTTATATCCTTGCATGCACAAACCTCTTCTTATATGTAATCCTAAATCCTGGCTGTCCCAACCCGCCACAAATTGCTAAGGAATTGTTATGCTGGTCAGGCAGTGGTCACTGAATTCCCTCGTCTTTATTGTACATGTAAGGATATCCAGCACTCCTCCTGTACTAGGGAGATTGATTGCAGACGGAAATTACCCTCAACTGCCCCTGTATTCAGGCTGTTGACTAGTCCTTTCATGCCACACTGGGAACACAAAGGCAGATTTAAAAGAAAATTAACTGGAGGGATAAAGAATGAAAATCAGTGAAGGGAAGGATGGACTAATATATTATCATTGTAAATTCAGTAATTCAATTAGCCCCCAGTCAAACACTGGACAAACAAAGTCAATACAAAACAGAAGGGCCATAAAAATTATGTATTCAGCAGGTTTGCATTTGCATATTCTGCGTTCCCCAAATATCCTACTGATTCTGTGAAAATAGAGAATATTCAGAGAGAGAATATTCAAAATACATGAAGTCAAGTTCTGTATCTTGATTTAAATGACAGGCTTGAGAGAGAGAAGTCGAATGGCACAAAAAGTACTAAAGATCACTATCTGGAAGGCAGAAGGTTAGAAACTGAAAGAACTGGAAGTCATTAACTGAAAACAAAAGACTCAAGTATTTGAAAGCCTGTTCATCTCAGCAGTTCTCAAGAACACTGCACTCTTGTACCCTAAATGGAGACTACTGAAATTTGGGTATTTGAAATGTGGACTGTCTTGGCTGTGCTTCTCAGTGCAACACATAAAATTGAAAATCAAACACATTTAGAAAAATATAATACAAAAATACTGGCACTAAGGTGTCAATACAAATTAGGAACAAAAATTTACGCATGACCATTCTGACAGAAAGGTATTTAAGAACAGAGCTTTATTCTCAAAAACCCACTCAGATTTTTTTTTTTAAGATTACACTGAAACTGCACATGAAATCATTCAGAAAATGCCTAAAACTGTAACAAAGCCAGAGACTAAGATAACTTCCTTTAAGCCCTTTTCAAGAAGGGGCTTTTGAGCTGGTGCATGAAAGAAGAGCCCAAGAATCTGATACTGAACTGCAAGGTCCAAAACATAGTGTGGAAGTCTGTATACCTTTACGAGAATATACCATATTCCAGGAGGCTTGGAAAGTCTTCCACAGGGAGATTCTAGTTTGAAATCATGACAAGATTTTTTCTGGCAAGCCTCTGGCATGGATTTTCTTATGAAACATCATAGCATAGTGCAAAAAGTATCACATTACCCACAACTATTCTGGACATAATTTTTAATAAAAAATGTGACTGCTGAACCCATTTGGAAGAAAAGCTGTTCAAAGTGTATATAGCTTTGTTTGTAATTCAACACTATAAAGAGTATCTGAACAAATTATGAGTATTTCATGTCCGATGCAATAAGTGTCTCTGTATTTTCAGTTAAGAGTGACCAGTTCTGTGTTTTAAATTAGGAAATCTGCATAACATTAAAATAAATTACTCAAGTGCCATTTTAAATCAAAATGAAGTAGGTCACTTTGAAGTCAGCTTTGACGGGCAGTTGTGTTGTTGGTGTTGGGGTTTTTTTCAAATAAGAGCATGAGTCTGTTCCCTCAGCACCACTTAATCACTGGTAACTTTCATGAAGAGCAAACAAAAGGCCTCTTTTATTTATCCATTATGTTCCTAAGAGGTGAGAACAGCTTGATGCAAATGAAAATCATTAAAGCATTCTGCACTACCATTAACTGTCTGAATATCCGTCTATGCAAATGCAGCACATTATCCAGTGAAACTGCAGCCTCATGACCTTCTGCATTGAAAATCTATGCCTTATGACTCTCTTAACAGTTAAAATGCTCTCTATGATGTGCCTTTCTATAAGTGCCTGGTTTGGACAGGCATGATAATGGAGTGCAAGCCATTACACAGGAACATATTCAGTTTCAGATACCCCTTCACCTCTTCACCCTGACTGGGTAAGGGGTAACATCAGATATATCTGATTTGCAACAATGCTACAGGATGAATAATAAGCTAAAATGCGATTGCCCAGATACAATCCTGCATGGAATTACACCCATAACTTCAAATGAGTAGTTCCATTTAAGACACAATGAACATATAATAATGCAAAACTCTAAGTGGTTTGTAGGATTAGAGGCCTAATTAGATACAAAACCTACTGACCTAATTCTTTAGAACTTTGTCCTTCATGTAGCCATTTATGCCCCAAGTGAACAGTGCACAGAACATGGCTATTCTCACTAGGTATCATGCCACCTGACTAAAAAAGATGGTTGAATGTATGAACTAGAGAGTTCAGTCCTCCAACAGCACTATCTGGCAACAGAAATGCACCACAGCTCCTGCCTTCTTAAGAGTTTGAACCAGAGACATATTTAAGACAGCCTAGATAGCAGGTTATGGAAGGACATCTACTGCTGTTCAGTCTGTCTCTCTCCTTGGCAAAATTTAGGTCAGGTAAAAATTTGCACCTCCTGCCTAAGAGCTTTTCTAGAACTAAGCCTTGGCAGGGGTTAAGGACATCTCCCCGTCCTTTGGGACACATACTTTTGTTGCCTACTTTCATGTCACTGCAGAGTAGTTAGGACACTGCATTATTCAACAGTAGCTGAAGAGGCAACAGTAAATTGGATTCTAGGGTTTCCATTGCTTGAAGGACACCAAACCAGCCTCTCCTGTTACACAGACCTGGCACGCTCCTAGGAGAGTGCCCCTATCAGCAGGTGGTTGCATGTGAAGCATCTCCTACCTCCAGTTCAAAGTTCTGCCAATCAGTGCTGAGGACTGGAAAACTTAAAGGCCAAAAAGAGCAAGGAACCTTTAACCTTCTAGGCCTTATACAGCTTGCATACATGGTACAGAGAGCAGGACTAAGGACTCT